ATCTTTGAAAGACCAGCTACAGTCCAAACAGCCTCTCTGGGAGATGTGTCCTTTGAAAATAACTCTAACTTTTTGCCTCTTGATTTCTTACATCTCTGGAATTCAGTATACCCTACAGTGTCTACCAGGTAACATGACTCTACAGGGCTATTGTCAAAGTCCAAACAAAATTAAAAGTATGCTTCCATTGGGAAAAATCTTGAATCCCAAGTCCTTCTATTTCGCAAGAAGTGTGACTTTTGTGAGAAACTTGATATTAAGGAAAACGATTGCTTATACAATTACAGCCTTGAAAAGTGAAAAGGAAAGATAGGTAAAAAGAGAATTTACAATGAGCTAAACAACTGTTGAAGCTCTGAGTCCAAAAGCTGGTGGGACACTTGAAGAATGCCCCGGAGTCCAGCTTGGTGAGATGCGGCTCGGATAGAGGAATGGGACCCCGGTCGCGCAGGTGCCTCGCGGATCCCCCTTACTTCCCGCCTGCGTCTCCCCGCCCCCGCCTTCCCGGAATCCTGGGCTTAGGGCCCGCGGAGGCTGAACGTTTCTCCCACAGGTGAGACCTACCCAGGCTGGAGCGCAGAGCTGGCGGCTGTCCGGTTGCTCAGGAAGCCCCAGCCTTATCACATAGCGTTCCTAGTCAATAATCCAAGTTGACTTTTCCCCCTTCGTGCTTGAGGGTTTGGAGAAGCTGGGTGAGAGAGAAAGCAGAGATGAAAGCAGAGAACTCCCACCGCCTTCCCTCCTCCTGCGACCCCGGCACCGAGAGGAAAGGAAAAAAAAAAAAAAAAAAGCAGAGAAGAAAAAAAAAAAAAAAGAAGAAGAAACGACAGTATAGTAGACATTTTAATAGTATTTTCCCACTCCATCTTCCGACTCCCGCCACCGTGCAGGGATATAATAGCTCCGGCCACACTGGCTTTCTCGATCGGCTTTCCGGATGACTGAATTTCTTTGCTCCTCTCTCCTGTCGGGGACCATCTGAAACTGCCCCCATCTTGCGTTCCCAGGGGCCCTCCCCACCCGCCTCGTTTCCACTCGGGGACCAAAGAGCAGGTCACTTCGGCGTCCTCCATAAGACGAACCCCCACCCAGGCTGGGTAAATTAAACTGGGAAAGGAAAAACGGGTGGAGGGCGAGGAGGACCGCTCCTGCAGACCTCGGCCCCGGCGGACCCCGGCGGGTGCCCACTGCGAGCCACGTGGGGAGGCCCCAAGCGAGGCGCACGCCCGCAAGGGTTTTGGAAAAGAGACTGCCGAGAACAATGAACCCTGGAGGACAGAGGGAGGTGGAGGGGGCTGAGAACTCTCGTCCTTCACCGCCTTCCCCCTTTGGGGACATTCCTTAGGTTTAATCATTAAAGTGGATCCTTTTTTAAAAGGAGGCAGGAGCTTAACGCAGCCGTTTCTGACAATCTGCCCCACACGCTGTCAGCGAAGTGAAAGATCTGGATCCAGCTTTGTTGCTTCGCTACCAATAGCAGACTTGGGGAGACCAAGCCTCCTATTTCTGGCCACATCAAAGCAGTGATTATGCAAATACCCATTTTTTTTAAAGAATAAAATGGAGGGGGAATTATTTATCAAACAATGAACCCCCTGCCAGGGCGGGAAACAATAGATCAGACCAGATAGCCCTTCTAGCCCCAGGCTGGGGGAGCGGGAAGGGGGGTGCTGGAGCCCTCACGTTTTATTGGTCTAACCTAATTTCACTAATTCTCTTTTCACACATTTTTCTTTTGCGGATTCGGAGGCCAGGACTTTCACGCTCCCGAGAGCGCCCTGCGTTGGCGCGATTCAAGGGCTGCCTGCTTTATTTAATTAATACATTCAAATCTCGCCTGGGACCCAAGAGCCTGGGGGTGGGGGAAGAGACCGAGGCCGGGCGTGAGGAGGAGGCGCTTTTAACGGGTTCCAGGTGTCGAGGCCCAGAAGTCGCAACCTGCCCAAGGCTGTGCGATGCAGGGGGTGCACGCGGCGGGCGGCGGCGGCTCGCAACTCCCTGCCTCTGGCTCTAACTCGGCCCTGCCGCAGCCGTGCGCACAGGCGACCCGGGCCGGAGGGTGGGCGCCGCAGAAGCGGGCCCTTGGTCTAGATGCGCTCCGCGGGTAACAGGACTCTCGCTCCCTCCGGGCCAAGGCCGCCCGGGGCCTTCTGAAGCCCGCGCCTCCGCCGGGCCCGCAGGGCTCTGCCCGGGAGGGAGCCTACCCAGCTCCTGCCCAGGTGCTGGGGGCTCCAGGAGCCCCAGTACTCCTCTCGTCTCTACCTCGCCCGGCGGCCCACCTCTCCGCTTCTCCGTTTTCTCCTTGCTCGCCCTCAGATGGATTTGTCTTAGATCTGGTGAAGGAAAATCAGCCCTAAGTCCTGGGCACTTCAGAACAAGTAAATACAATCAATGCCCGGAGCCTGGCGGCGCCGAAGCAGAGATCCACCCGGGCCAGGACCAACCCTCGCACCTCTCCGCGCTTAGGTAAACACGCCACCGCGCCCCTGGAGCTGGAAAGATCTGGCAACTTTTGCGGTGTGGGACTGTCATCAGAACAACATCTTCATGGCCTTGCTTGAAACGGCTGTCAGCAGAGAGCTCCAGAAATAGAATGGCTTGGCTCAGCGGCCCACGAAGCTGCTTGGTGCAGACAGACCAAGCTGGTCACAGGGCGGGAGGCGAATGGGTAAAATGGAAGAGCGACTGTATTCCCTACTGCTGAAGCTTCGACCAGTAATTCTCATCTCCACAGGGAACGGGAGAGGACGACTGGGCCTCAACCCACAGGCTGCGGAGGTTGCAGTGGGTGGGGAAGAGAACTGCCAGCGCGAAGTGAGGCAGAAAGAACATCGTTCTTAACCTCTAAAAGTGATTAGACGCCATACGAAATAATTGCACCTACTTAGTATAAAATTAGGTCTGCTGTAGATAGCGGAGGAAAAGCCCGAGTGTAGACCGCAGACGGGAGACGGAATTCCTGCCGTATATGACGTGATGCTGGTGTGTAAGAGGACCTGCAAGCTCTTGCTGAACGGGTCTCTGGTCCTGGAGAAACTGCAGAGGTGGCTGCTAGATTCAACTAGGTCGCAGGTTAAGTCATTAGGTGTATTACCCATTACTCAAAACGATGACTATCGAACCCTCCCCCCATCTGTGCCTCTCCAAATAAGCTGTTAGGGTCACCACCTGTTTACAGGATCCCCTCACCAGCTGAGGTTTCCTGAGTACCTGCACCTGAAGATTTACCTTCCCCAGACTTGTCATGAACCTGTTTCCTTGGCAAGTTTCCAAAAGAAGCCTATAATCACCATAAAAGCATCATCATCACTAAATTAACAGTTATTTGGCATTAAAACCGTGATTTTTAAAACTCTCATACTACGATTGCTTTGCTTGCTGGCTTGGTTTTTTAAACACTAGAAACATAAAGGTGAATGTACGAGAAAAATCACTTTCTCCTCATATCAGATAATCGAGTGGCTAAGAATAATACAATCTTTAAACTAGAAGGGGTTTTCCAACAGGTCTCCCTTACATCCAGAGATGAAAGCCAGACAAACCCTGGGTTGGTTCTTCCTTTTATTAAAAATGGAGTTATTGAGCTTCCCTGGTGGCGCAGTGGTTGAGAGTCCGCCTGCCGATGCAGGGAACACGGGTTCGTGCTCCGGTCCGGGAAGATCCCACATGCCGCGGAGCGGCTGGGCCCGTGAGCCATGGCCGCTGAGCCTGCACGTCCGGAGACTGTGCTCCGC